TGTGAGACTCAGATGTGCACTTGAAATAATAGACCTGGACATCAGTGAAGGTTTTAAGGACCTGCTCTGCAACATGCTGGACGACGAGGTGACGCAGGGCATCATTGAGGACAAGATTCTCCTGCAGTTTGGAGAGCAGATGTTTCATTTCTACAGCGGTGATAGACGAAGGCGGGAGTACATGAGGCAGAACCTCCGCCAACTGTCAAGACTTGTCCTTGAAGCCCGAAAAACGACTCCCTTAAAAAATCTGGAGGACTTCTTTTACCCCTCAAGCTTCAGACACGTGGTGTCTGCTGTGAAAGTCGTAGCAGGTTACAATGCAGAGACCAAAATGTTCAAAATCCCCTCGCTTGCGGTAAAGCTTGGTTACCACCTACAGAAAGCCTGCAGTATTGTCGAGAGCAACGCCCTAAAGCTTGGGGATAAAGATCTAGCAAAGTCGGCACAGAACTTCCTCTCGGTGTACCAGAGAAAGTGGAATATGCTGGTCTCCTCTGGTGCATTATCAAATATGAACGAGTCAAAGATGAACACAGACAAGATGGTGCCGCTGGTCCAGGATGTTAAGCTTCTGTATTCACACTTGGAGAAGGTCCACGAAGTTGTAGAAAAAGACCTGAGAGACAATGTGACTCAGGAGAACTATGTCACACTGGCCAAGGTGATGATCGCTCGCATGTTTTTTTTTAACAGGAGGAAAGCCTCAGAGATATCTTCAATTACACTAAGAAATTTTATGTCACGGAAAAAGTGCGATGTGCTGGATGAAATGGACGTATCTGTCACCGATTTGGAAAGAACCCTGTGTAGCTACTTCACAAGGGTGGACATGAGAGGCAGTTGTGGAAGGGTAGTTCCTGTCTTCCTAAAACCCACATTTGAGTCTGCTTTGGAGCTTCTGGTAAAGACCAGAGAGTTGTGTGCAGTTCCCAAAGAGAACATCTATCTCTTTGGCCGACCGAATGCAAAGTCCAACTTCAAAGGTCCCAAATCTGTCTACCAACTTGCCAAAGAGTGTGGCGTTGAAAATCTCAACACAATGACGGCAAAGAAGATCCAGAAACACTTTGGGAAAATGCTGTTGTGGATGAACCTGAATGGTGAAGAAGTGGATCAGATTTTGGGCCCCAACCATCAGGCTCATACCATTAGGGCAGAGCTGGAAACTGGTGAGAGAGACTTTGAAGGTAGTTTGGTTTTCTTTTTAATTTATTAAATGAAACTGTATCTGTGATAAAGACACTTCTGGTTTTGTAAAGATTTAACACTTATATTTTTATTTTTAGGAAGAATTGTGCTCTAATGAACAGAACTGTTTTCTTATCAAGCCGATTTAAATCCTTTTTTTTTTAAACAGGAGAACAAGCTGCTTCCCCTTGTTACAGTGAGCACTCCACTTTCAGCTGCGAGCAAGCAAATCAAAATTACAAACAGGAACGTGGAACACCGACAGGTAACTGCGTTATAAAAGCTGTTTCACGTAGATGATATGATGATATTCAAATTGTATCATATTTTATATTTAAAAAAAAAAGAAAATAAAATTGATGGCAGAGGCCAAAATAAACTGACATCTAGCAACTTTTCCATCCGTTTTCTCAGTTGTTCAACAGAAGGGCAAACAGAAGTGGGAAGTAGCGGAGGTTCGTGCTGTTGAAAGACATTTGATGCACTTCATTACGACTCACAAGGTGCCTCAGAAAAATGACTGTATTCAGTGTCTGGAGGCTGAGCCGCAATCACTGAAGACTCGATCGTGGAAAGGTGTGAAGGACTACGTCAGAAACAGAATCACTGCCTTAAAGAGAGAAAGTAATAGATCTGAGCATGCACCTAAAAATGAGAAGAAACCCCGGCGAGAGGAACAAGAAGAGGATGATTTGTAGATGGCTATACGATGCATTCCTTGAAAGCAACTTGTGTTGAGCTAAGGCTTTTTTTTTATTTATATGGTCTTTCCTGTTCAAGGGATCATCATTTCCTAGGTTTCGTTCAGCCTTAAGAGCTTTGGTTTTCTTTGTTCTAAAAGATTAACTGCATTGTGTTATTTAATTCATTCAGATAAATATGTCTGTTATACTGTAGTTCTTCAGTATCAGTTTCTATTGACAGTGTTACTCATTTATGGAAATTAAATTTAAAAAAAACATTTTATTTGAGCAATAAACAAAACCAGGTTACATTATCAGTCATTTGTCACTTGTAGTTTTTGGAGTACATTTTTATTATGATTCAATAAATAAAGTTACACCCAATTTGTTAAACAGATAAGTGGAGCAAACAAACATAAAACTGCAAAAAATGTTCATTTACCATTTAATGCTAAAAGAAAAATCACCCCTCAACATATTTTTTTAAATGCAAGTTTAATGACCGGTGCCTAGTAGTTTTTCTTTGAAAGGACAGGCGGAAATGATTCGTCGTGACCCTTGCTAACATGTTGCTAACACGGCAGGTGGGCTCATTTAATGCAGAGAGGCGTTTCTTGTTTAAGCGTGGGACTTAAATCTAAACCATTTATCATTTTCACGTTTCACAAATAGACGAGTGTAAAAAAAATGGAAAATTGTATGTAAAGCGTTTTGCTTCCGTCGCAGCAGCGGAGAAAATGATAACGGACGAACATCACACACAAATGCTACTGCTTCCGCCGAGGCCAGAAGGTAACTAACCTATTATTTTATTACAAAATGGTTGAGTGCATATGGGTTAAATTTTTTTTAAATAATGTAGTAGATGAGCAAGGTGTCTGGTTTGTATTTATTAATTAAATTCTTTGCACGTTTGTATTGACTCATTAGGGCCCGCCTCTGAGGAGAAGTTGGCCTATCAGTGATGGCTGTGCTTAATGACATACACGCAGATGGCCAATCAGAGCCAGACACCATGCCAGTGGACGGGGCAGAACGGCTGGCCCGCTGTGTCACCATCGGGTCCCCACAACCCTATGCCCAGCCTTCAGCATCTCAACCTGGGATCACAGTACCCTGAGCACCAGCAGTGGACAAACCAAACAAACATGGGGTTTTCTAGTAATGTCAACCACACTGTACATCATACTGATACCAACGGCCCACTCAGTATACCTGGTGTGAACAAAGTTGGAAATGCACCTCCATGTTTTTTACCCGTGGTGACGACGGAGACGCAGCTTCAGCAGATGTCACCACACTATCCTAAGAGACCTGATCAAGCAATACCTCCACCGCCCCAGCCCCTCTACTCACAGCAGGGCTCACTTCATGGCAATCTCCAAATAACCCCCCAATCATTTGAAAATTACGGAGGACAGTACCCTCAACACCACCATGGAAACTTGATGGACAGTTCTGGCTCACCGACAGGTACCGTCCAACCGCAGCCACAATGTGTTCTTCCTCCACAGCTTAGAGGTAGGTTCACATGTAATTCATCTTTTATTTCCATAAATTGTTAGGGCATCTTAGACTGCTCAGTTGGTAAGAGATACTTGTTTACCGAAGCAAATACAAAAAATCCCTACAAAACAGACCCATTTAAACAGTCAAGATTTCAAAATAAAACAATGTCAAACTTTAGACACTACACATAAATATAAAAAGTTATAAAAAGCTTGTTTGATTTTAATTTTCTTTACAGGAACCACAGATACTTTTGTTCCCAGTGCAGTTACACTGGACAAGAACTCCACACCACAGGTGAGTTATTTTTCTATTTTGACAAATAACAAATCATCACATACATTTATGGTTTTCTTTATTTTTAGTTTTATTTTTTGTAGCATTTTCAGATCAACTGAAAGCTGTTATCGTTCCACTTTACAGAACCATAAACCTTAAATCGATGATAGGACGATTACTGACACAGCGATTAGCGTTAGCGTTAGCATTCATTGTTGGAGTTCTAGTCAATAACTACTCTATACTTACATTTTACTCGTCATAGGAAGAAAGAAACATTGTTTTGGGTACGACTACATGAAGCAGTCCGGTTTTATTGTAAAAAACTCAACATTTTCTCACTGCAGTCTCCTACCTCTGAATCCCGTTACGGCCTGGACCCCGAGCTCCTGCCCAGTGCTGTGAGTCTGTCTCTCTTTTGTGCCACATGTATCATAATGTATTTGTATCATTTTCTGGCTCAGGTCTTTTACTCCCTTTATGTTAATTTGAAGTTTATTAAACACACCAATCCTGTACAGCCCTTTGGCTGTGTCAATTAAATTCATAATTAGAATCTTTTAATCTAATGTGTACATGGTTGTGACTTTGTGAGGACCTTTTAGACCATGTTATTTAAGATAAGGAAAATCCATTGGAAAATTCTGAGCAGGTACAGTATCACTTTCTAAAAAGGTGTCTGATTTAATGTGATTGGATATCATCTGGGACCTGCTCTCAGTGAGGGTTAGGAATGTAGGTAAAAATAGGGACCTGCACTTGGTCAATTATGTCCTGGTCTTTAGGTGAATTAAAAACATTGGCTTTGTCCACTCCATTTACAAAAACATGTCCTAACTTTATGTGGGATTTGAAATGTATACCTCATATAGACCTATTTATATAAACGTACATTTTCACATGGCTACATTGTTGTTGTACTATTTTCAATTGTTTTAATTGAATATTCTTTTCTATTCTCCGTGTCCCAGGTCAAAGTGATGGCAGAGGACAGGGCAGAGTGGGAGAACAAGGTGTTTGTCTCTGAATTCTTCTCTGCTCTTCCTCCTCTTCCAACTACTTCCTGTCCTGTTGAAGACAAAGGTAAATAATGAGAACAGCCGTCACTGTTTGCCTAACAAATGCGCAGAAATTATTTCGTACACTATCTAAATGTGTGCGTAGTTGAGTTATTCTAGCATTGCTGTCGTCATGTTTTTCTTCTTCTTAATATGGAAGATACGGAAATAGAATTTGAAAATAAAAGTGGTAATTTCAAAATAAAAGTTACTAACTCTGTTTAATAAACAAAATTAAGACACATAAAACATGTCAATAATAACAAACAATGGTAAATTATGAACCACAGCCAGAATGTGTGTATTTTCAAATCGTCTGTTTTGGAAGTCTGTTTTATTCTTATATTGTATTTTGGTCAACTTTAAACCAGTACTGTTGAATGTGACTGTCTCCATTAAACTATAGGTAATACAAGTCCTTCTGTCATTCGCTCCACCACCTACTGTGTGCCCTGTGATGGTCAGACGGTCCTGCTAAGCCGTTTACCACTAGGGGCTCTGGTCACTCCCTTTGCAGAGCGAAATGATAAAGAGGTCAGAAGGTTCTATAAACAATTATTGTAATAAGTTAGTTTAAAGGTCAAAACATCTAGGGTTCAGTACAGTGTTCAGAGAAGATCATGAATATCTGTGTCTGTAGATGCCCCTCCCTGTCTGCCAAGAGCCAGAGTGTGTAGTGGGGTGTAAGTACTGTGGAGCTTCCATGTGCCCAGCGATGAACTGGCAGGACTGTGGTCAGAGGTTTTACTGCCCCTTCTGTGGTAAACTCAGTGAAGGTAAGATGAAACACAGAGCTTCATCTGAAAGAGTTTTTTTTATGATGATGATGATGTTCTAAATCCTTCTCTTATCCTCTGTCCTCATCCACGTTCCAGTGCCCTGGCAGCAGTACCAGCCCACCAAGGGTGTGGCCGGTCCCCGGGCTGATAAAGACCGAAGGCCTGAACTGAGTATGGGCTCATATGAAATAGTCCATTCTCAGAGGGTACGTTTGTACATACTCTTTTACGAAGTTAGATTTATGTAAGGGCAGCTCTTAAATATTAATTAAATAATTAAAACTTGGGTAAATACTTGATGTGTGTTTTTTTTGTCTTCAAACTGGTTGCAGGCTGAAGCAGCTGCACTGCTGCTGGCCATAGATGTGTCTGCATCAGCACTGAGAGGAGGACATCTGGAGTTTGTGAGCCAGCAAATACACATGCTGCTCAACTCACTGAACAGGTAAAACACACTCCAGATGTTACACACTCTAGGTTTACACACACTTGTTAAAATGAACATTTACTGCCACAAATAAAATAGAAAACAATTATCTCGTTGTTTTAGAGAGAGAGAGAGCGTAAAACAACATGAAAAATCTGGAACTTCAAAAATACATTTAGTTATGGAAAATAATAATAATAAAAAAGGTATTACAGTGTGTCAGTGACAAATACAACACGCCTTCCTCACATGCAGAATGTCTGGGGTCTAACCACATACTTGATGGCGCCTCCTGTGGCAGCCTTTGTAGACTGCAAAGACTCACACTGTGAATTTCCCCATTGTGGGACAAATAAGGAATTTCAATTCGATACATTTTTATTTTTTCACAGAGAGCACCAACTGCTAGTTCCTCTTTCAAAACTGGGCAGCAGAGAAAAACTGTGTTAAGTTTTATTGATGTTTTAAAGACAATCCAGTTTTAAATATTACTGGATTCTCACCCATTTACAAATGACTTTATGCATATTAAGAAACCTTAAAAATAAAAGCCTTTGGAAAGTCGAACAAATCACTAGAGGAGACAAAGGATGAGTATTGGTTTTCAAAAAAAACCCAAAACAAAACAAGAAAGTTTCTCCAACACTGAAAAGTTTGAAATTATCCAACCAGTTAATTGACATGATCCAAAACCTTTCTGCTGAGTATGTAGCATTCAGCTTCATAGTTAGCTCGAGTTTCATGCACTTTATTTGCGTTAGCGATAGTGGTATAATTCTGTCACATCATGCCAGACGGCTGAATGTTCTTCAATGTGTTGCCTTGATATAAAAGAGTCTTATTTTTCCAGGGAGAACGGAGACGGTGTGTCAGACGTCAGGGTTGGCCTGATGACCTATGACAGCAGGATCCACCTGTACAACCTCAGTCCTGCTCTAACCCGTCCACACATGCTGGTCCTCACAGACACGGACGACTTGCAGCTCCCCGTGAGGGACGGCCTTCTGGTGTCTCTCAGAGACTGCATTGACAGCATTGACAGGTTAGAGCAGACATGGGCAAACTATGGACCGGGGGCCAGATGTGGCCCGTTTGGCTTTTTAATCCGGTCTGCCTGTTAATTTGGACACGTTTGGCAGACCGGACATATTAATTTCTATAATTATTATACTTCTGTCTTTTCCCTGCAATGCCCTCATTTCTCCATAGATGGTGTCGAAAAGGCTTAAAGTGTTTTAGCATTTTAGCCTTTATGACTTTTACATGTCATTCAGTTGGGTGGAACCCTAGAAAATAAATGATGTTTGGTTGACTGTATGGGCAGTGTGCTACAGCTTATCCCTAAGTTCACAGAAGAGTGCAATGTCCCTGGGGGAGTTTCAGTGAAGTTGCCGGTTACAGCGGGACTCACCGTGCTGCAGGTTGACATACTGTGAATTTACAATATTTTACTTTTTAATTTTATCCCATATGTACCTTGAGCTCAGATGTCTTTGTTTGTCTTTCAGGCCTTGGACTGTCCTGGAAAGCTGCTGATCTTCCACTCGGCCTCTCTGGTAGAGACAGAGCTCACAAACACCTCAGGGTTCTTTGGTTCTTATAAACCAAAGGTATGTAAAAACCATATAGCATGCTGTACTGTCTACTCTTCCTCAGTGGTTCCCAACCTTGTGACCCCAAGTTTGAAAAATACTCACTTAATATATTTTTTTTCTCTGTAGTCCATCTTTCAGCCATCAGAGCCAGTCGTCTCCCTGGCCAAGGAGTGCATTCACCAGGGCTGCAGCGTTCACCTGTTCTTCCTGTCTCAACAAGATGTGGGCGGAGCCTGGCCTGGATACATTCCATATCTGACCGGAGGAGTTCTGCACACCTACAGCCATCTCCAGGTATCCTCGCAACTGGGACTTTGACTTCTGTCGACCTGGAAATGAATGTAAAATAGAAGGAAGTTCCAATAGTTTTCATGTTTTGATGTGATTTTCTTTTTAACTGTCACTACAGGGAGATTTGGACAGAGAGCATTTCAGTGCTGATCTGAAGAAGACCGTAGAGACGGACGTTGCCTACAGGGCTAAGCTCAGGATTTTTGTCAGCAAAGGTCTAAAAGTTTTTTCGACACATGGCTCTATTGTTGGGGTAACAAAGTACAACAAAATATTTGCAAAAACGTAGACTACAGATTTATTGTTTTGTCCTAACTGTTGTATGATCAGCCTCAAACTTTGTAATTTACTGACTTTCTGAGTAAAAAACACCTTTAAACTACTTTTACAGCACACAGTAGTGTCTTATAAAGAACTGGTTCATGTTGCATAGGATTAGTAATGACATTTTGAGCACTTTCTTAGCCATAAAGTGTGATTTTACAGTCTGAACTGTGTAACATTGTAACCAAACAGTACATTTAGAATGTGCACATATCGGATAAGTGTGTTTGAGGAATTTGTGATTACCGGGTGATTGTGACAGTATTGATAATACAGTTCTCAGTGACCCAGAACATCAGCACCATGAGTAAAGGACTCCTTATTTGTCTTCCTGACCTCAGTGGGTTTTTATTTCTGTCTCGCTAGATTTACGTGTGTCCGGCTGTTATGGACTTTTTGTCCCTGGAACTAGTCCTGCTCAGGTCACCATGGCAGCCTTAGATCACTGGACCACAGTGGCTGTGGAAATTGCCCACACCAGGTCTTTGGATGAAACCAGAGGCGCAGCCATTCAGGTGGGCAGAGTTATTATTATTATTATTATTTTGACTAGTCTTTAGTTCTGACGACACGTTGAGCCAGGCTAACTTCCCTCCTCCCCTCACGTCCCCAGGCTGTCCTGTCCTACAGCACACAGACAGGAGAAAGACGGACCAGGGTCCACACGCTGACGCTGCGATGCTCTCCTCACCTGCAGGAGGTTTTCCGTCACTTCCAGGCCCAAACTCTGCTCGCTTTCTACTGCAAGAAGAGTAAGAAACTCCACATGACGATTCACATAGTGATGAACCTGCAGATCAGAGTTGGTGGATCGTAGGCTCAGTCCAATGTAAAATAGCGTTTTTAGGATAAAGTGGCTACTATGGCTGAAGTCTGTACTGAATTAATGGAGTCAGTTCTCACTGAAACTGTAGGAAATCTGTAGGAAAATGATTTGTGTGGGTTCTGTCGAAAAATTATTTAGAAAAAATAATATTTGTAACCAGGGGAGAAATCACACCAACATGAAATGTGCATTATTTTTCTTTGTGGCCTGATACTTGTTTTACGACCCACTTCTGGTCCTCGACCAATCAGTTTGGAACCTGCTGTAACTCACACCAGCGGTGTTGTCTGTGTGAATGTTTTGGTAATAATTTAACTTTCTCTGTGTTGCTTTTTTTTAGTGTACTGTACTGTAATGGAGCGCCCTCTGCAGGAACTAAGGGAGGAGCTCCAGACAGAGGTAACTGAAGCTTTGGCTTCGTACCGGAAACACTGTTCCTCCGCTGCAGTCTCTACTGGACAGGTGAGGTTGTGATGCACTCTTCAACGTTCTCCTTCTTAAAGGAAAACACAGAACCACCTACAGTAAGGCCTCATTTAATTATCTGCCTCCTCCACAGCTGGTCCTACCTCAGTACCTGCGAGCTCTGCCTGTATATGTCAACAGTTTGAGAAAGAGTGAGGTCCTGCTGCCAGGCATGAGGACGTCCGTCCATCAGAGACTGCAGCTGCGCTGCCAGGTGCTCGGCATGGACGCCTGCGGGACGGCCACACACTTCTACCCTCAGCTGCTGTGTCTGGTCAGTACCATCATCATCATCATCATCATCATCATCAGTATGAGATACAGTTTACTTCTGCACTACAGACCGCACAGAACCACAGGTCCAAGTTTTCACAATTAATTAATATAATATATGAATTATATAATACATTTTAATATTTAAAACATGTTAATTTATCTACTTTAATTGTGATTAGTCATTAATAACAATAGTAGGCAGTAGAAAATGAAATCAACGATTTATGACTTTTGTCTCACCAGCACACGCTAACTGAAAACTCAAATACTCCTCCTGAGCTGAGGGGGGCGCTGCGGTGCACAGCTGTTAGCCTGGAGCCCAGGGGTCTGTATCTGATTCATACTCCACTCACTCTGCTGCTCTGGGTGGGAAATCAGGTCCCAGCAAACACACTGGCTGAAGTCTTTAACACATCGTACGTCCCTTCACTGCCCTCTGGAGAGGTAAGAGGCGCTGCAGCCTGTAGGAACCTTTAGGACTTAAATGTCAGCCCAGAGTCACAGGGTTTAAAAATTCATGTTATGTCAGAGTCAATGGTAATGGTTCTGGCATATGTTGTTAAGTAATTAAGACATTTTTATCTTTCATGTCTATGTCCATTTTTCTTCACAGACCAAACTGCCAGATCTGGACAGTCCTCTGTCCATCAGTATCAGATCCCTCATCAATACTCTGAACTGTCAAGTGTCCAGGGCTCGTAAGGTGAAGTTAACTTTATCTGGACTTTTGTTTCGCTTTCTTCCATGACTACCTTTAACATGGCTTAGATGTTATGGTGAAATTTTGCGCAAATTTTCTTGGGTGTTTTTTTCCTCATGATGACTAGTGGATTTGGCTACCTTTAAGCTATTTTTAGCTTTGTATGTGACCTAGCTGCTTGGCTAACAATGTGATTTTTTAAATGTATTTATTTAACTTAAAACTTTTTTTTAATGATCACCTTTGGCAGTTTTTAGCAAGTTAGTATTTACCTCTTTGACATTTGTTGTGGTCTTTTCGTAGCCTCTAAGTCAGGGATGTCAAACTCATTTTCACCGGGGGCCACATCAGCAATCCCCTTCCCCTTGAAGTGTCAGTTGTAAATGTAAATTTTACTAATTTACTTCATACAAAGAAAATCCACCATGTCCATTTACTTTCTTAAAGATAATTTGGCAATATTTTAATATAAAAGTCATCCAGACTCTGATAGAATAGAGAAAATAAGTTTTATTTTGAAAATATATATGGAACCAAAAAACTACTCCATAACAGACTAATTTCTGCAAGTTTCTGCAATTGATTATTATTTATTCAAACTAAAAATATTGTTCATTGCTGTGTAATAAAAACAAAACTTGTAATTCTATAGGTTAAGTATCTCTGCTGTGTGGACTTTACTAAATGCTTTTTAAGCACTCCCGGGCCACACAAAACGGCTTGGCAGGCCGCATTTGGCCCCCGGGCCTTGAGTTTGACACGTATGCTCTAAGTTATTTTTTTCTTCACGTTTGCTACATATTGTCTAAAATTGAGATGTGAGATTATTTTGGCTTAAATTTGTATATATTCCCTGTTACTTTTACGCTTTTTCATAAAGTGTTTCATGTAAGTTCCCTGCTTTGCTTAATTTAGCTATGTTTGTATTTGAGCTATTTATATTAGCCACAATTTACCATTTGGCTAACTTTTTGCTAATTTGGCTAATTTTCCTCAGATGTTAAACATTTAAATGATTAAATGTACCAACGAAACCCAGAGGAAAACAGTCTTGTGACGTGAAACTGAAACAGTTTCGAAATTGACAGTAAATATTCCACAGGGGAAAGGTTGACAAAAACTGCCACTGACAAGTCTGTTTCTTTTTCCACTCAGCTGTGGGTGGTGAAACAGGGGGACACGTGTGAGGAGGTGATGCAGCGCCACCTGGTGGAGGACAAGAGTCCCAACGGAGGGGCATCCTATGCAGACTTCCTCTACCATCTTCACGTCAACTCTGTCCGCCTGTTGCAGTGACACACACACACACACACACACACACACTAAACAGATTAACAAACTAAAAAAAAAGTTTTGTTCGATTTTATTGCACTGAATGGAATTATTTTAAGCTGTGCTGTTCAAGCATGAAGACATTTTGAAAGACGCTTTATTCTATTCGTTTGAATGTATTTAACCACTGCTGTGGAGACATGTGTGTGACTGACGCTTAAATGTATTGTTGGTGATTTATTCCTGTTTTGTGTCACATTTTAATTTGCCATCTGAGATCTTTGTGTGCATCTGCCCAGTTGTGTGTGTGAGTGTGTATGAGTGCATGCATGTGATTAAGCCCTGAAAATAATAATAATTAAAGCTTTAAGTGAAAACTTTTTTCCCTGTCCATCGCTATCATTAAATAATTTGGACTTTACACTTTAAAAGAAGTGTCATATCTAAATAAAAGCTAGGGGGCTCTACTCCTGCTATTTGCAGATGTGTCCCTGTGCAAGTACCTTAACCCAAACGTGGCTATTATTACTATATTAGTGTTATTATTATTGTTATTAATAATAACAACAATTATTATTATTTATATTATTGTAAATATTATTTTTTATAATTACAATAATAATAATACTAATGTTTATTTAATTCGCCTTTTTTAAGTTTTGTTTTTAAAGTACACCTTCCGGGTAGTAGTAGTTGTAGTAGTAAGTGAGAACCCACGGAGATTACCGAGCACTCACGGAGATTAACGAGCACCCATTAGCATAAACATAAACCTTAATTATTACTTTATAGAGGTGAATAAGTATAGAAGTAGTTGACGTCAATTGCACGTCTGTAAAGTGTCGTAGATTCTACGTCAAAGACTTAAGTGAGTGCGCACAGCGCGCGTGTGGCGGTACGGTAGAAGCGCTCTAATATTTGCCCCTATTTGGAGATGACGCAGGCGCAAGTTGTGGTAGAGTCCACTTTGAGCTGTTCCGCACTATTTCCACTAGAGGGCAAGAGAGCACAGCTACTCTAACGCCGCCAAAAAATTGAAGCTTCAATCAAAGCCAACGAACCATCAAGTCGTGGGAAGTTAGATGCGGAAAACTAGGATGCCATCAAAATAAATAGCAAGTTATTTTTTTTAAACAAAAACAAAACCAAAACCAAAAACAACATAACAGAAAAGTCTGTTATGTTAATATATAATTGACTTAAACGAATATGTTTTTGTACGTTTTATCAAAAGTAAAATGTACTTGTATTATATGTCTCTCGTGATTTTGGGTATCAAAATTCTAAGAAATTCTCTTCACTTAACACACTAACGCAAACTGTACCGTGTGTGACACCCGTGGTACTATAATGATCCATGGGAATTTGTTTTAAACAGGTGTGCTTTTATTGTGACGTTCAAAACAGGAAATTGTTGTGTTTGCGTCACACAGCTTGTGTTGCATGCCCGCGGTATCTGTGAGAGAGAGTGAGAGAGAGTTTGTGTCTGAGAGAGAGAGAGAGAGAGAGTGAGAGAGAGAGAGTGTGTGAAAGAGAGAGAGAGAGAGGAGAGAGAGAGAGAGAGAAAGAAGTCAACCGCTCGTCTCGGTATTAAATCTTCCGTCACTTTCTGCGGCTGCTTGAAAACTTTTCACCGCTCCAACGGCCGTGTAGCTGCTGGGCGGACCTGTCTCTTCTACACCGCGACACTTAGCACCAAACTACAGATTACGTGGTTTTGTTTTGTTTGTTCTTTCTCTCATTTCATCTCCACTACCTGAGCTCTGAGGAAAAGAAACACCAGACATGGCCACGACAACCTGCACGAGATTCACGGATGAATACCAGCTGTACGAGGAGCTGGGCAAGTGAGTGTGTGTCTGTTATCTGTCACGGCTGACCGTGGGTTTGACTGCTGCGGCTGTGTGTGTGTGTGTGTGTGTTGCTTTTTTTGGGATGACACTTCTCAAAATACGCCTCTGTCTCTCTATGTCTCTCTCCCACAAACACGTTTGCGCTGTGCTCAAAATACACCATCATAATTTCTTAAGTAATATTTATATATGCGCTATACTGTTCAGTACTTTCCTAATATATGATTCTCAAACTACGGTTTGTGTACGTTTTGGGTTCGTGGTACTCGCTCTTCATGTAGTGTTAATCTGGGATCAGTTTGAGTTGGCAAACTAGTGACTCGTGTAGATAAAATGAAGGGGAGAAATGTCACAGTTGGCTCCGGACTGGGACTGTCAAACTGGGACTGTCAAACTGGGACTGTCTCAAAGAAGTTCCTGCTATTGCCACAGTTTAATATAAAGTTTAAACTAATTTCATCACTTTTTTTTTTACCGTGTACCATTGCTTGAGAAAAATGAGAAAAACAAGACGTGCTGAGTTTTCTGTTCTCTGGTATTTCTTTTCATTAAAAAAATATTAGAAAGAATCTGAAGCATTGATCTACCTTGTTCAACGGTGTACAACCTGTGGCTCCAGAGCCCCATGTGGCCCTTCAGCCCATTTTCTTTGGCTCCAGGTTGGATGATATTTCATATTGACTATTTAATATTTGAACCATGGACCAAATGTATAATAATAATAATAATAATAATAATAATAATAATAATAATAAACAATTAAACCCTGGCCAACGTCCTGTATGTTTTGTATCAAATAAATATTAAATATATCAATATGTCCAACATGTCTCAGTCTCACTGAGCCCTCAGTGAGAAAAATGTTACAAACACACTTGATCAAAAGCGTAGGCCCTGCTGTGTTTATTTAAATACCCGCTGACACACAAAGCTCTTCAGCCAAAAGCACTGGTCTGTGGGCGAGGAACTCTTTCAGAGAATTTATTTTTGCACATGGCGAGAAAAGAACAAAGGCGTGATTGTGGTTTCAGTGTCTCTTTTATGTATAAATCTAAAGACTGAGACAAGGTGACTGTTGTGAACTCTGGGTCCATCTAGTGGCCTTTACAGCCGCAGCGTAGCACAAACCTAGTGATGCAAAGACAATGGAGTGGAGCTGGAATATATTCATTCATCTTAGGCTCCGGCAATTAATGTATTTGTTGAATGATGTGTTCTATCGTAATTTAGTTGATGGGACGTAGAATTTAAAAAATGCATTAAAATTGCACTGTTGTAGCTAGCATTAGCTCTGGTGTCTGTACTCGGACTGTTGTAGCTAATGTTAGTTCTGGTGTTTCTACCAGGACTTATGCAGCTAACGTTAGCTCTGGTGTTTGTAATAAGAATGCTGTAGCTAATTGTTAATTGAAGTAATACTGTAGACTTAAAGTTCTCTTCGTTGCACAAGTTCCATACAATTACGTTCTTATCCGAGCTGCTGTTTGTTTTTAAGAAAGCTTTTTGTTAAACACATCGTCCTATCTTTCTTTTAGAATAACGCCAATCAACACCACTTGCACTTTCTGTGCATCTCCCAAATAATCGGTGCATTGCTGCCACCTTCAGGGCTGGAGCAATTAAATGTATTAAATATGTACATTTTTTGTGATTTGTTTTTGTTTCTTGTTTGTTGAAATTTCTGATTTAAAAGTCCTGCCGTTACAATTGTTTTCATCTAAGAAAATGTTCAACTTTCACTTGATGTCCATTTTTTAATTAATTATTTATTTATTTATTTTAAATGCTCTGAAGTGAATGTAATAAATCTCTCCCTCTGTTCTTGCAGCTCAGCTGCTAAATCTGTCGCAACCAATTTCAGCTTCTGAAAAGCATTTTATCATTCATGTTTCTGACGCCGCTCTGTTTGTCTCAGTTAGACACAAAGCTTTTGAGGTGTTATTTACAATCACTACACAGAATGTAACCCATCCACATCACAGACTTGTGGCAGTGTAACAACACACCAGAGGGATCTGGTTACCAAACACCGTCTGTTCAATACATCATTTTTATTTACAAAGTTTAAAAAAAAAAGGCTTCGGTTCATGCTCTTTGACCTTATTTAACCGTGCATGACTGTTAAAACATATTTAGCGCTAACCAGAGACACTTACCTCACAGAGTGTGAACTTTCCAGGCACAGCTGTGGGGTTTGGTGTCAGTAACAAATGCATATATTTTCTGTGCATGTGTGACTTATGTCGTGCTGCTGAGTTTCTCTGATCACCTGTTCCAGGCATGAACGTTGTGCGTTAATGATTACGCCTCGCCATTCTTCGTAAACGTGGAATAATGTTTTCTTTTGTCATAACATTAAGAGACGATAAAAAGACCGAATTAGAGCTGACATGATGCTAAGGGTCGTTCACTATGAAATGTAACGATTAATTATGGGGGTGTAGGAAAATATTGATACAGTGATCCATAGCCCTATTGCAGTAGTTGCGTTCCAATACCCACCGCGAAAAGGGGAAATCCGCAAAGTAGATAAGTAGGTAAGATAGTCATTATATTATTTACATATACTGTTATCAACCCCCCCCCCCAGACTGTATTTCTTGTCTGTCAAGGGGGAGATGCTGATAGATACTACAATGCATGAGCCAATCAGTGTGAGGAACAAAAGAGCATGCGATTAGCCAATAGTACACCAAGTATGCATTGTATTAACCAATAGTGTGTGTACGATCTTGTCTAGGTTAACAAAGCTACCAGCGATTGTTTGCAAATGCGCTTATCTCAATTTCAAAACGAGAATTCGATCGGATTCAAAAAAAAAATTTTTGATATACTGTGGGAGTGAAAGGAGAACCGCGATATATATAGAGAGAACACTGTACACTGATTTATCGCGATATTTTTGTTTTCCGATACCGTATCGATATTTTACAGCACTGTATTGGTTAAAAAATAAAGAAAAAGAACAAAGATTCATGGCTTTGGTTCATATTATTTTGCTTATATTTCTTCTTTATTGAAAACAAATATAGATCCGTCTGTTCCAACATTAGTAACCTGATCTTTAGCATTTAACAACAACAGTTTTACTACATTGCTTAAAAAAACGCAATATATCGATGTGCTTATCGTATCGCCGTGTATCGCAATATATCGCGATACATACTCGTATTGCCAGATTCTTCCCAATGCATACACCTGGTTGACAACAATTACTTTACTTGACTGACAGCTCACGATGTTATCAATACTTCATAATTCAGAAGTTTCCTTACTAGTGTCAGTTTTCAAGGACGGTCGTGGTATCGTCGTCCTGTATGATATTTCAGTAGTGCTTGGTTCGTGTGCTCACGTGCTGTGTGTGTGTGTGCGCCCATCACTATTGCTGACTGTGTGAATGGAAACCTCACAGGAGCTTATAAAGTAGATAAACAGCCGAAAAGAACCGTCTTTAAATTAAGCTGAAAACTGTTGGAGACATTGGCATTAGGTTGAGCTGCAGAAACGCTGTCTGTGCAAAAAATGTCATCGTGCTGATGACGGCACCTTCACAAATGATGATGAACAGGTTCATAAGAGCAGTGTCGACCTGTACCTCAGTGGTCCACTGGTAAACTAAAACCAAGAATGTGCTGTTTGTGTTCCACAGGGGAGCCTTTTCAGTGGTGCGCAGATGTGCAAAGCTGTGCACGGGACAGGAGTATGCTGCCAAAATAATCAACACCAAAAAGTTATCTGCAAGAGGTAAGCATCCACACTGCTGGCTTTTTCACCCGGCCCATGTGGGCCTCCAAAGGTTTGTACCGTGTGGGTCTGACAGAAGTGGTACAGTTGTTGAGAACTAGCTAATACTGGGCCATATGATCAGTAAAAAAAGTAAATTCAAAACAGTGTAAATCCACTATAAAAAAAGACCCCCCCCCCAAAAAAAAAAATTACAGATATCTGATATTAACCTTTTTCCGATATCAGATATCTCGATATTGTCCAAACACTTAATATACAGACCTGGTAATATTTATTAATTTATCTGTACAAACCTCTGTATGAGTATGCGATTAATTAACTGAGCTGCAATGCTGCCATCTAGTGACCTTCGCTTTAACATTTAGCCGTTTATCCCCAAAACTATTTTTGGCGAAACCCGAGCATTGCGTTATTGGAGTAAAAACCGAGAACGATTCTTACATATATTACAAAATATGCTAATATCGGGCTGATAATATCGGTCGACCGATATTATTGGACATCACTAGGTTGAAACCATTAACAACTTTCTTCTAGATTGTGATGTTACATTTAGAAAAGAGACATACAAAAGAGACATAAATACATTAAATTGAATCTTCACATGTCTTACTCAATTTTATTGTAATATTACATTTTATGATAGTAAAAATACATTTCATCGTTATGGTCACACGTCATGTGACCAGTAACGGTTCTTAGCAGAGTGGAGGATCAACTCCATGGTCACCACAGTGTTTGCTGCAGGTCAGTTCACCACCATTTGCCCAGTGTAAATCTCCTGCTACCCCTTCTGCCCGTAACTGGAGACCCAGTGCTGGGGCCCAGCCAGTTGGCAGCACGTTGACACTTTGACTGTTAACCTGCCGCCACACATACAGTGGTAGAAGAAGCGTAGCAACCAACATTAGCTCAGGGTATCATCCTAGAATGTGGTGACATCACTGTTTCTGAGGTGACCTGTTGGTGTGACAACTTCAGTTTATCTGAACATATGCTGATCAACTGAACAAGATCATGCTGTCATTATCACTACTGTGGTGACCTTTTGTGATAGCAACACAAACTATGTCAACATTTAACGTGAGCAGCAAAATGGACACTGCCTGTTGCATTTAGTCAATATTCATGAATATTGACTTTGACCAAACTCCAAACCACTAGCCTTCTTAAAATACAGTTAGTGGCTTTGTGTGTGTGTGTATATATATATATATGTATATATATACGTATATATATACATATATATATATATAAATACATATATATATATATATATATGTATTTATATATATATATGTATTTATATATATATGTATTTATATATATATGTATTTATATATATATGTATTTATATATATATATATGTATATATATGTATGTATATATATGTATATATATGTATGTATATATATGTATATATATGTATGTATATATATATATATGTATTTATATATATATATTTACACACATATATTGATACATATTAATATACTATATAACAATTAAGTCCCTTATTCGTCCCACAATAGGGACATTTACAGTGTGATTATCTATATTTCTGTGTGTGTATATATATGTATGTTTATTTATATGTGTAAATGAATATTTATATATGTATATATACATATATATTTACGCACATATACAGTATATCGATACATATTAATATAATTATACTGATTTAGTCCCGTATTCGTCCCACAATTGGGAAATTAATATATTCACATATGTGTGTGTGTGTATATATATATATATATATATATATATATATATATATCTAGCGTGGACA